TTTACTGGATTTATGCTTTGATAATCGTACTGAATATTATTCAGATGTAGTTTTTGATAAAAATCTTGATTTTGCTCAAAATAATGCATTTTTTTATGAAACCTACCTATATTCAATTGTTGATAAAAAAAAAAGAATGCTTTAAGCTAGAATAAAACTGATTTTATTTTGTTTAAAAGTAGAGGCTCTGATTTTTATTTTGGTGTATTCATATTCAAATATTCATACAGCAAAATATACTGCAGGCCATCAAATTTGAGTGAAAATCATCAAAATCGCTGGCGGTGGCTGGCAACTTTTTTCAAAAATGCTGATGGGGAAAGAGTTAATGAATCCCGCGTTGAACTCCCCGAGATTTTTTTTTTTAACTCCCCGAGATTAGAGAAGCAGTCGTCACTAAAATTATGTGTTTGTGGGCGGGGTCAAGTTGTTCGATGTAGAACATTGGCGGGAATTATGCAAATATCTTACCCTATGACGTGTAGCCTTCACAGAAGTGAGATTCGAATTACTAACGACTCGTTTAGGCTGTAGAGAGTCGATTCTTTATTTTGGGAGACAATAACTTTATTTATCGTGCACTTTCGTCTTTACAACTTTGCTGATCGTTTACATTCACATACAACTACATTACACACTGCATGAAAAGCAATATTGGAAATGGCATAATAGGGGCACTTTAAACACCCAAAATAAAAGTGGTTGAAAATTTCCTTTAAGTCAAGTCAAGTCAAGTCACCTTTATTTATATAGCGCTTTTAACAATACAGATTGTGTCAAAGCAACTGAACAGCATTAATTAGGAAAATAGTGTGTCAATAATGCAAAATGACAATAGTAAACACTCATTTTTCAGTTAAAGACAGTTCATCATTGAATTCAGTGATGTCATCATCCAGCTCAGTTCAGTTTAAATAGTATCTTTGCAATCATTTGCAATCAATGATTTTAAGTGACTTTAAGTGACTTTGAAATGTCAATGTTATGTACAGTATTTGTACTACAAAAACCAAACTGCACTGTTGTGGAATGTTTAATTTATCTTTTAATATAATGTAGTTGTACATTTAAAAAATGCAGCGAAAATACTTTTGTATATAGAATGTATGTTTATGATCAAAATAAAACCAGATCAAATTATAATAATTTTTGGAAAGTTTTGTTCACTTATTATTTCAGGTTCAAAGGCAACTTTGTGCCAACAGCAAACAATTTATCAGCCTGCCAAACATTGCACTTAAGTAAATTGTGATTAATTTGACTTGGAAGAGAACAGTGGAAAATATGTTTTCAATGGGTACACTAGAAATAAATAGCTCATGCAAATATCGAGCAGCGCACACACAGTGAGTCTGACAGGAGGCCAGGTTTTTTTTTCCTTTTGAAACACTGGTGTATTTGTTATAACATTCAGCATCGAATTTTCTGGAGTTTTGTACAATATCAAATTTTACTAACAATGGTCCCTAATTTCACCAATGTCATTAATCTTATACCCATTTAGATGGTCAAATACAAGACTCTCACAGTTAAACCCTGCAGACAAGTCTAGTTTAGACCAGCATGATTTCTATGCTGGTTTGGTGCCAGTCTAGTTTGTAAACCAAGCCTTTTGAACAAAAACGCATTGATATCAACATCCCACAATGAAGACCAGCATTCAAAAGCACAACATATGCAGCGGTAGTCTTTCAAATAGCATGCAAAAAAGACTGAACAACACAAAATGTAACTCATCGTCAGCTCCAGAAGATCAGTCCTGGTATTTCATAGAAACATTGAATATTGTGTAAACACTACACAGCATCAACCTTCAACTTACACAACCAGCATCTACCTTTAAGTGCCGCACAGTGCCGTGCAATGAATAGATGCGACACATACTGAATCCGTGACGTGAACACTTTGCCGCAGCAACTGTGAAGAAACATTTATATGTTCTCGACATAAATAATGTTGTAGTAAAACTGAACACTGTAGCAATATTAAGAGAGCAGGCGATTACAAAACTGAAGGGTTCTCGTTATCATCATCAAGCGAGCGGCTTCCAGCAGCTGGTCGTTGACAGAAACTCCTTCCTTACTGATTGGAGCCAGCCTGAGATTCCGGAGCCAAATTATGTTTGTAGATATTCACAGGATTCGGTTTAACACAGAATTTAAAAAAGCTTCATGAATTAATCCTTGTTTGCACCAACTGACTACTGAGACAGAATCAAACCCCATAACAATGGCGTTCCAGTGGCGTAATACAAAAAGACATTAATTTGCAGTAGAATAATGAAACGGCTTCTTTTGAGCACTCGCAGCGAACTGATAGCAAACAGTCGGATCTCCTCTGGGACTGCATTAGGAGCCTGCATTTCATGGATGCAGTGCTAGATTTGACTCTCGTTGGCCTCACACAAACACTGACAGTCATACCCCCTCAGGCTCACAGCAATTACTAGGCAGGGGCCCAAAGTCTAAACTTATCTGATTATATTTCCATTCTGCACTATCCAAACAGTTTTACCGCTCGAACGAGTACGTTTAAAAGCCTCCTGGAGCGAGATACAGGCTCCGTACAGTCAGTCTACAGGTTCTCTAATATTAGGCTACAATCGTGTCTGGTCTCGAGGCAGATTAATGTGAGCCACCGCTCTGATAAGAAGAAAAGTTTGACATCCAGTAATGAAAAAACAGACGGAGCCTTGCAGAGGTCGACGTGCCTCATTTTGAGCCATTTATTCATTCCTCGTTCTACTGGCTGTATGAATAAACATCAGCAGACTGCAGCGGCGAGGAACGAGGAAGAGCTACCGCGTTAGACGGCGTGGGATCGCAAGAACTGGGCTGTCAGTCTGTTTCTCCTAGGGGCCTTGAGTTGGGGCTGTCGCAGCTAGGGCTCGCAGAAAACGCCGAGCGTTTTCAACCCTCTACATTGTGAGTAAATCACTCGCATATGCGACTAAATCTTACTCTGGGCGACTAAATAATGTCTAACATTAGCCATTGGCTAATAAATTCTTAGATTTTACACGCCAGTATGTGTGTGAGAGGTGTTCAACACAGATTTTCACTCGATAAACACGCTGAGCTAAGTAAACGTGTGTGTGTGTGTGTGTGTGTGTGTGTAAAACAGTATATCAGTCTGGCAAGTAAACAAAAAAATGTACTAGCCAATGGCGATTATATTGCCAAGGTGTGCGTAGAGGGTTGTCAAAAATTCACGAGACATCTGTTGCCATGCCGGGACCTTGCTTCTAAGACGTTTAATTAAATAAGTGTCACGGCGCGTACAGATAAATATGCCGCAACTGGTGCACGGGCGCATAATTATGACAGGGCATCTAGGGAGCTGCGGTCTTCCATGCTCATTATGGCCCATCTGGGACATCAAACAACAGCGCTCGAGTCCCATGTGTTCATATGGGAACAAGCTTTTACTGGTGCCCTCCAAGGAGGGGAACATCCGCATGGTGGCGAATTTGAACTACCGCGACTGCAGCTCGAATTTCCTGGAGCTTTTAAGGCAAATGGGTCAGATTTGCGTGACTCTGTCGACATGTATGAATGAAATGCGCTTGACGTCTTGACATATGCCTGCGCGCACACGTTATCCCACTTAAACAACAGAGCAGGCAGTTTTAATGTGGATTCCACCATAATCATAATCAGAAGATTTAAAGATGGCTGACAGCTGTCATATGATGCAACAAAGTGCCACTAAGATTAGTTGAAAATCCAAGGAATAAACTGTCCACACACACACACACAAATGTTCTGAGGCATTTCTATGCTTTTCCTCCAGTGTTCGAAAGGTATTTGTGCACTGGTTTAATTGCAGCACTCTCCAAAGGCGGTCAGCCTCACGAAGGGGGTTTCTGCTTTTCAATGAGCACAAAATGAGTGTCACTGTTGGAGTCGTCTCTTTTGCGGACTCTATCAGGTATCCCGGTGGAATTAGAGCCCGGATCGCTATTAAACGCAGCACGAGAAACATATTCAGCCTTCGGATGGAAAAACAAGCACATGCCACCTCCACTTCCCCAGAGACCTCTTCAGCTTCTGAGCCCTCCTAATTTATGGAATACTCCATGTTCCCCACCCTCCACAAGGATGACTGATCCCATTCTGCCGTACCCTGCACGCCAGTCACGCTGATACTCATTAGCAGGAAGCTTCAGAACAAAAACAGAGGCCCCCGTGGGGGGAACGTTGGGCATCAGAGGTTCGTCGCTCCACAATGGTGGTTAATGCCACCCTCCGTGAAGGAAAGAGCCTCCGACTTGCTGCTGCTTCTTCTTGCCACCCTCTGTGACAGGTACCCGTTTGGTCGTTTGGGGCTGCAAGGTCTGGCAGCTTCAATTGGAGCCAAGCAATTGATCACCAGAGAAAGACTTGAGGTGAAAAGGGTTCAGAGAGCTTTTTCTAGCCATTGACCAAAGTGCTGGGTTTACTTTTAGTCACCGCTAAGCTCCCTTAAAGCTGTCCAAGGGCATTGAAAGTACACTTAAGGATGAAAACAGGGATCTGATCAATACGAGGAAAAACAAAGCTGCCCTCAACAGCTCTAAACAAACATCGGACAGACCTTGTATATAGCAAGCTAGAGTATGCGTATGCTCCATGACAGGATGCTAATAAGTGTCAGCAACACGGTGCCATGCATAATAGGGGACGGCTGAAGGCTTCATAGATAAGATAGGGGGTCGTTTATACCCCAATGTGGCCTGTTCAAAGGCTGACATGCTCAAGGATTATGCCTCTTTTAGCACTCCAATGCTTAGGGCATTGTAATTATCAGATGCACCTCAGCCTATCCGTGCCTCTTCGCAGTGAATGAATCACCAGTGCCAGTGCTTTAAAATCTGTCAACCAGGATGGATCACTGGGCTGTATATCAGCCATCTGTCTGCGGATGCAGAGGCCATTTTTACAGCAGCTAATAGATGAGAAATGCACCCCGTGGACAATGCAGAACACCTTGTCAAAAGGTAAAATGTGCATCAGGAGCGAACTGGACAAACGAGCGATGGTATGACAATCAGGGAGATGAATAGCAGATTGATGCAATTATATTAATTTAGTTCTTTATTTATTTAGTTAGCAATGTATATTTATTTAGTTGCTCAACAAGTCAATTTAAATCAACATATTGTCTCTCTTGCACATATGCTTTATTTTATTTATTTGGCTTATTTATGATCATTAATTGCTATAATCGTGGATCCATTTTAGGGATGTGTCAGCAAATGTCATTTCAAACCAGAACGTGACTATATTCATTTACTTTTCTTTAAATACATACATATATACAAATAAATAATAAGCTGAATTTTTCACAATAACTTTATACAACTTTTACTCAAAATAATCAATACAGTAAGTATTTAATTCATTCGTTTACTAAAAAAATAACAAAAATATATAGATAATGTGCATTATCCTTTCACAAGGCTCTCTGTAGATGTTGAACTTTAAGAACTGACATTGTGGAATGGCCATCACTGTTAATCTGACAACAGCACACAGTTCTTAGCCGATTATCTCAAATTGGCCAAATATGAGCAGATTCATTGTATTTCCGTCTACCAAATGGGCAAGACAGCATGGTAATTGAAATGAGAATTAAATTGCATCCATTATTGCATTTTGGTATTTATGTCATTTTCTATGATCTGATCACAATTTAGCTGAGATAAATGTGTATCACCAACAAATTCACAGCAGCAAATATCATACTACAAACTTCACTGTTAAATAATGAATGCTATATTCTCAAAGGAATACTGATAGTATTGCTATTATAATTTTGAAGTGACCTTAATATCTGGATAAATTGAAATCGTGAAAACAATTTGGAGATTTCAGCTTAACCGGTCATTCATGTTTGATCCTGTTGGAATTGGTAGAATTATGACTGGAATTCCATTAGCATTCAGTAAGGATTCTTTCCATAAATCCCACACATCACTGACTCGCGAGCTCGGAGTCTCAGGGGCCACAATAAGATCGGAGACGCTTACCTTGCGCCCAAGTGTTAGTGATGAATGAAAACATCAGAATCCATCCGGTGCTCCACTTCAGAGTTAACGTGCGCCTTGACATGATGCTCCGACACGTCTGTGAGTCCGCAGCACGCGTTCGCCCGCGCCGCGCTGCATACATGTTGCGCCGTAGTCCTGGTTTCCCCAAAGCGATGCGAGACACTGAGCGCGTCGCTCCCGTACGTCCAAAACCAGCGCTTAATAAGGAGGAGTCTATAAATCAGTCTGTACGCGTCAGGCACCAATAAACTGCTGCAAAGTCCGATGAAGCAAAGTTTAAGAACTGCATAAACAGCACTACTTCACATGACAATCATTTTTTTTCTTTTATTAATTATTTTGAGTATTTATGTATTTACAAAAAGTTAGGCAATAAGAATTGTTCAATCGCAGAAACCTTTCTGAACTGGGTTCAGATGAATTCAATCATTTGCGTTCAAAGGAACGATTCCGCTGCATCCCTGCGCGTCATGAAGCATCTCTCAAAGTGGATGCTTTTTAAAAAAAAAAGACACTATAAAGCCACTGCTGGAAAAAAAAATAAGGGCTGAAGTAGTGGAGACTCGATGAGGAAATATTCCGTCCGGTATCTTGGATGTATTCCCAAAAAAAATGCAGTGTCCGTGTCCTTTCAGTACTGCGAGCAACAATGTATGAGTGTCTGATAACTCAGGACTGAAGCCGAACTCCTTCACTGCGGGATGTCGCCACCACGCCGCGGATGGGAGAAGCGCATCTTCCTATTACGACGTATTAATGTTTATAATAGATCCATCCAGCATCATTCAAAGTTTGGGTGTTCATACTGCGGCGAGACCATGTTTACGAAAATGCCAAGGGTGTTTAACTCAAACAGGCAGTGAGCTCTGCTTATCTATGAACGTTTTATTAATTAGTAGAGAGTTGCAATTAGTTCAAGCTGTCCACAATTTCCCACAGGATGCCAGAATTATAACTCCTTGTAACTCCACAGTGCAAGTTATCTGCATGCCAAGAGAGCACAAGCTCATAGAGCAACATTATTATTAGTGTCTCTCTTTCCCTCTCTCTTCCCCCACTCTCTCTGTGAGACCGCAGGCTCAGTGTAAGCTTTGATCCCGAGGACACAAATCTGGTTTTAAATTCCGAACAGATCCACAGACTACTGCACTCGTTACCCAAGCATGCTATGACTCACATACTGCACAACTGTTCAAGTTACATCCATAAACCACATTCATTCCCACACTGAGCAGGAGGCAAAAATCAAAATGATAACTCACATTCTAAATATAAGCATGTGAGGTGTTGCTTTACCAAATGTGCTTCAATCCTTAAACTCAGAGCGTGGTAAGATGATAAAGATGATGGTGGAGGTGATGATAGTATCAGTGAGGATTGTCATAGTGGTGGTAGTGATGATACTGGTGACGATGATAATATTGATAATGATGGTAATGTAGATACTGCTGGCAATGAGAGTTGTGTTGATGATGCTGAAGTGGTATTGATATTGGTAATGATGATACTGTTGGTGATGGTAATATTTGTGTTGATTTTGACAGTATTGGTGATGATGATGGTAATGATTATATGTTGATTGTGGAAATGATAGTGGTGGTGATTATGGTGGTAAACATGATAGTGTTGATGGTGTTGGTGTGGTAATGATAGTGGTAATGATTATATTGTTGGTGCTGATAATAGTTATGTTGGTTATGATAATATTGGTTGTGGTGATGATGATAGTGACTGAATATGTTGACGGTGGTAGTGATAGTGATGGTGGTAATGAAGATACTGCCGGTGATGATACATGTGATGGTTGTAATCATGGGAGTGTTGATGATGCTGATGTGGTAATGATAGTGGTAAAGATAATACTGATGCTTATGATAATAGCTGCATTGATTATGATAGCATTAGTGATGATGGTGATGATGATGATGATGGCAATACAGATAGTGATTGATTATGTTGATGGAGGTGATTATAGTGGTGGTGGCAATGAAGATACTACCAGTGATGACAGATATGATGGTAACCATTACATTGTTGATGTTGTAATGATAGTACTGTTGGTTATGATAATAACTGTGTTGATTATGATAGCATTGGTGGTGGTGGTGATGATGATAATGATTGATTATGTTGATGATGGTAATGATAGTAGTGGTGGTAATGAAAATACTACTGGTGATGATAGATGTGATGGTGGTAATCATGAGAGCATTGATTGTTTTGATGATAGTGATGGTAGTAATGGAGATACTTGTTGGTGTTGACGATAGTTGTGGCGATGATGATGTAATGATGGTGTAGATGCAAATGATTGTTGTGTTAGTGATACGTTTAAAAACTATTTTGAATACTGGTGAGCACGTCTGGAGGTGTATCATTTACATATTTAATTAAACATTTGTAAACACTTTTTATAGTTGCTATATAAATAAAGCTTTACTTACTAGTGATTTTGTGAGGATGATGATGATAGTGAAGATTGAGATGAGGATAGTGGTAGTGATCATGATGGTCATGATGCAAATTGATTATACTAATAAATAAAGCTGACTGTGATCCATTAAAACATGGAATATAAATATATTCTTCAGCCCTCAGGGGATCCACCTCTGAGTAAACGTTTTTATGCTCAACAGATTGCCTATGGTTTTTAATTAAGCAATATTCACTACTTAATATGATTAACATGTGGGCAGGGGCAGAAGGAGAACAGTAACCAAATAAACCTCATGAGTGATGCTGACTGGGCCTTGAACTGTTGACTGCGAAGGTGGATGAGGCAGAAGTGAACCGTATTGATTAACACACACAATGCTGCGCTGCAGCTTTCAAGAAAAGCATTTCTCCATTAATGAAGCAACAGAGAGCTCACGGCATGTGGGACTGCTCCGCAGTCCATGCTGTCGTGCTCTCCTGACGTCTCGTCAGAACCGCATCGCCTCAGCAGCAGGGTTCCCGCGCTTGCTGGAGCCACGGTGAGCTGCTTTTCTCATGGCCCGTTTTAATGATGCTCAGATGATGAGACTCGCAGGCTGGGTGGCAGCTTTCTGCTCCCAGTCTGATGCAGACGCAAATTGCGCCTGTCTTGCCATTATTATCCTGCTGTGCACTGCACCCAGGTAGACATGGCAGGTGGAAAGAAACACTAGTTAACTGGTGGGGGGAATAGGTCCTGCACCATGTCTTGCTGTATGTGTTCTGTTTGACTTAGAATAGTACAGATTCAAAATGGATGAATAAATTCCTACAG